GTGCTGGGATTCGAACCCAGGTCTTCTGCAAGAACAGTGTTCTTAACCCCTTAGCCATCTCTCCAGCCCCCTATACTTTGTTCTTATTCATCCTCCCCCCTCATTTTAAGATTATTTGTGTGTGTGCACGGGAGTGTGTATGCGTGTGCACACGTGCATGCGTGTGCGTGTGTGTGTGTGTGTGTGTGTGTGTGTGTGTGTGTGTAAACCAGAGGTTAACCTCAGGTGTCATTCCTCAGGATGCTGCCCTCCTTGTTTTTAAATTTAATGTTATGTACTATTATTATGTGTGTATGGTGTATATATGCCTGAGTGTGCCACTACAGTCGGGGAGGCACTTTGTGAAGTCAGATCTCTCCTTTTACCTTTGTGTGTTCTGGAGATCAAACTCAGGTTGCCAGGCTTGCATTGTCGGGCAATAAGCATCTTTATCAACTGAGCCATCTTGCTGACTCTGCAACTGTTTTGAAACAGAATCTCTCACTGGCCTGGAGCTCACCAAGTAGGCTAGGATGGCTGGCCAATGACCCCCAAGGATTTTCCTGTCTCTACTTTCTGGAGGCTACAAGGGCACACCACCACACATGGCCTTTTTATGTGGGTTCTGGGGATCTAATTCAGGTTTTCATGCCTGGATGGCAAGCACTTTACTGACTGAGCTACTACACCAGTCCAGATTATTGTTATTATTTGATTTTTGTTTTTATTTTGTGTATGTGTGTATTCCCTGCATCTATGTAAATGCACCCATGTCATGCAGTCACAGAGGACAGAAGAGGGTGTCAGATCCCCTGGAACTGGAGTTACAGGTGCTTATTAGCCATCATGCGGGTATTGGGATTCAAACCCAGGTCTTTGCAAGAACAGTCAGTACTCTTGACTGCTGAGCCATCTCTCCAGCTCCCCCCACCCCCAGATTATTTTATTTTATTTTTTGGTCTTTTTGAGACAGGGTCTCCCTGTAGCTTCAGCCTGGAACTTGCTACGTAGACCAGGCTGGCTTCTAACTCATAGAGATCTGCCTGCCTCTGCCTCCCAAGCACTGAGATTAAAAGGCATGCACCACCATGTCTGGCAAAAATTTTAATACACAAGTTTAACAATGGAAATTCTGGGTTTTAATATAGATCTTGGTACATATTGTCAAATACTTTGTAGAATATAAGCAATCCTGTTTGCTAAGTATTGCTTGTTCACATCTTGAGCCATGGGAACAGTATGTGAAAGTTAGAATAAGCCACTCAACATTTCTGAGGAAGGAGAGTTTACACACATGGTACTTTTTAATTTAATTTAATTTTATTTTATTATTTTATTTTTAAAAGAAAACTAGCTCAGTATGGCAGCAAACACCTTTAATCTCAGCACTGTGGAGGCAGAGGCAGGCAGATCTCTGTGAGTCTGAGACCAGCCTGGTCTACTTAGAGAGGTCCAGGCTAGTCAAGACTACATAATGGGACTCTGTCTAAAAAAAGGAAGGAAGGAAGGAAGGAAGGAAGGAAGGAAGGAAGGAAGGAAGGAAGGAAGGAAAAGAAAGAGAGAAAATTAAAGCTATTTTAAACTTCGGACTTCAGAAAGGACATTTAGGTTTTGGTTTTTATTTTGTCTTTGTTTTTGAGAAAGGTCTCTCTGTAGCCCCAGCTGGCCTAGAACTTTCTATGTAGACCAGGCTGGCCTCAATCTCAGAGAGTTCTACCTGCCTCTGCTTCCCGAGTGCTGGGATTAAAGGCACATGCCACTATGCCCAGCCCCACATCTAGGTTTGATTGCAGCCTTTTAAAGTACATCACTGCTTTGTAACCTCATCCAACTATGATGCCTGGTGTCTGCTGACACGACGTATGCTATGGCCTTGTCACTTGGTTCCTGTGCTTTTCTAGTGGCTGGAGATTGTCCTACTTTTGCAGAACTCAATGGCCAGTTAGTCTTGCCAGCCAGCAAACAGTACCTCTTCTCTCTTCCCCGTCACCCCCACTCTCCTTGACCTACTCATCTATAGACTTTGATTCCTATAAAGGAAGGGTAATTGAATGTTGCTATTGTAAACAACCAAAACAAAACATGTTTATAACACTTTCAATAATATGTACTGATTTAAAAGTAGGTGTTCTGATGGGAGGAGAGCTGGGGTGTGTTCTGTCCTTAACATTGGAGTAAAGAGTTTTGTGAGGGCTTTGGACATAGCTCATTTGATAGAGCACTTGCCTGCATGCAGCCCTGGGTTTGGTCCCCAGCACCACATAAAACTGGTTATGCTGTTGCAGACCTGTAATCCAAGCACTGGGAAGGTGGAGGTGGGAGGATCAGAACTTCAAGGTCATCCTTGGCTATATAGCAAGTTTAAGGTCATCTGGACTGCATGAGAGCCTTTCTAAAAAAACAAAACCAAGCAAACAAAACACAGAAACAAGCAAACAAAAAACTCCAAACAACAAATCATAGGAATGGGACTTGAGAGATGGCTCAGTGGTTAAGAGTTCTGGTTGTTCTTGCAGAGGACCTAGATTCGTTTCCCAGCACCCACATGGTGGCTAACAACCATCTGTAACTCCAGATTTTAATACATACGTGTTATTATACTTTGTTCTTTTCTTAAA